TTTTTTTTCCAAGATAAAACTCAAAGATTTAAGCGAGAGAAAAACGGATCTCTGGATTTTGAGTTTTCCAGCGATCTCAAACATCAAATTAAAATGCATGGACGGCACACATTCTATCCTTTTACTCTGCCCTTACAAGTTTGCACACTCTTGTATGGTAAGTACAGTAGCTTGAATTCTCTGCTTACACTGGTATTGTGTATGTCAGGCAACGACAGGGATTTCTGACATACAGTAGCTTCAAGCAAAATACAATTTTCAACATGCTTGCTTTCTCATTAAAAATCAGTAAGATGGAAGAAGAGCAATGCCAGAAAACAGTATATGCATGTCCTCCGGAAGTTAATATTCACATTAAATTATTAGTAATTTACATAGTGGACATGTGTGGAACATACAGATAATTGTTTTTTTTTATCTTGTTGGTTTTCTCATTTTCCATACATCATTTAACTTGATGTATTTAAACAATTAAAGCTATATTTCCTATAAAATTAGAATATGCATTATTATTGCATTGTACAAGATTAATAATAAAATCATTCAAGAGAGGTAATCCATATTAATATATAATTTACTACAGTACAGTGAATGGGAAATAGCAGCATTATTTTTTTTAATTCATTGTAATACTTTATGTTGTTCATGATGCATTAGTTTATTAAGATTTGTAATTGAGTAATACCAGGTTTCATTATGGTGAAGTATGAAATGAAAATATATATTAGAGAGCTTCAGGGACTGAATAAATAATGTTTTACTAAATACTAAGAAATACTGTGTCTTCCTTGAAATTTTGTAAACTTGGTCATTTTCAGATAAATATGTAAATGTAGTGTTCTTTGTACAGAGCTATACATTCGAGAAACTTCAACCGCAATAAAAATATTTTAAAACATGCAAGGGAATAGTTGCGATTATTCATCAACAACATGCTACAGTATGTCCAATAATTTGTTTTGATCATGTCAAAGAATCATGAATGTACTCAATGATTCAACTTTTATTCCTCTCCTCCCATTTCATTTTTTTTTTTGCATTTCATGTTTCCTGTTGTATGACCTGATGCCCACTTTTATTTCTCTCCTAATATTTGCTTCGTCTCGTCTGTGCAAGAGAAAACTCATATAGTACCTTCTAAATGAAAGCTGCTGAACGCGTCCTTTCTAGAGGACTGATATTAAATTGTTTCTAAAATAAGGAGTGGAGTGGATACTTAATCCTGCTCATTTCACTTTATGGATAAATGGTGCAGTGAAGCCATTAAGGACTGCAGGATCACAAGACAATATTAAAACACACCATGTAACGCTTACGGCCGACAGGCACTGTGTAAGAGCCGGTTTACCAGAGCGGTGACGTCGCCGCCCTTCCCTGTGATAGCAGGACTACAGCTAGTGGGCTGTAGAGAGATCTCTCTTTAGCTCACCGGGCTGGGTCGCTGCAGAGAGACGCGGGAGTCCCGGGTTCGAGCCGACCTGAGCCCCCGTTGTGTTTCAGTACACTGTGCAGAGTGCCGTATACTCCTAGTTGCGACACACACGATATATACAGTAAAAAGCCTCAGGCACTTTGTTAGATGTGTTTTTGACGTTATATATGCGTTTATTAATGTCGTCGATTTTACGGTTGCAATTCGACGTTGATTACACAGTACGTCGCCCTGAATATACGTATATTCGAGAATCACCGCCCACAGCTTCGCATACAAGGGTTTTGCAGAGGGGGTCTTGCCACCTGCCTGAAAAAAACAGTAACATGTTTGAGTGCCTATAGATTTTCTATTTTTATTTTCTTGAGAAAAGTTTATACCATTTCCTGGACACCCCGTCCCCCATCAGTGCGCGGTGCCCCGGAAAAAATCTGTAGGGGGGCGTCTGAAATTCTAAGGGGGGGTGATATTTCGGTTGAAACGGAGCTGTACGGTGCTGCTACACAAATGAAATATCGCAGCTATGCCATTGATTAGTGCTTCATGATAGAAGATAACGACTAGCAATCTGGTATTTGCGACAGGCACTGTGTAAGAGCCGGCGTACCAGAGCAGGTGACGTCACCGCCCTTCCCTGTGATAGCAGGACTACAGCTACTGACTGCAATGTTTGAAAATATAAACTGGAAGTTAGTTTGGACAATTCTTGATAGATTTTGTATTACAAATAAAGTTAAAGAGATATCGTTTAAAATCTTTCATAAGTTTTATCCAGTGAAATTAGTACTCTTTAAATTTAAGCATGAGCAGGATGATCTGTGTGTTTTTTGTCGGGCGGAAAAGGAATCTGGTGCATTTATTTGTTAGGTGTAGGTTTGTGAAGTTGTTTTGGATGGATTTACAGAGTTTTGTTTGCTGGCAGTTAAAGGTGTTTTTTAGATTGAAGGATTTTGACATTTTATTGTACTGTTTAGTAGAAAATTTGGAAAAAGAGCATTTATTTATAGTCAATTTATTAATCATTCTTGGTAAATTTCACATCCATAAATCCAAATGGTCTAATAATACTCCCCTGTTTAGTTCTTTTGAGGTGGAGCTGAAACATTATTTAAATT